ATTGGTCCCAACTCCCGAGAGCGTCTTATGGTTGAATGCAGTACCTGCCTTGTTTCGCTAGTTCGTCTGTAGATGCACCGTGCCAAAAGTGTTTGTAAATGCAAAGCGACGCTTAATTCACGGACTAGTTACACTTATATTATGTTAAAAATCTACCCAAAGTTTAGTATCATCAGGAAGGTAATAACGTAAGCTACTTTGTGAAATAGAAGAAATTCAATGAATTGTTATGAACATAGAAAAAATTTGCAATGAACATCAGCGCGCGCTGTAATCATAATTTTGGCCCACCCTGTATAGTAAGGATATCGGCATACTATTCATAATCATAATGTCACTACCTATAGGAGGGAAAGTCTAGCTCAAAATGAGTTCAAGAGATCACAATCAACGTACCTGAAGAAGCTGCATCACCCTCGGGAGCCGGAGCTTCAGTGACCCAATCAGTTGAGGAAGGCATTTTTATTTGATCTACGCTGAGTCCGAGAGACCTGAAAGTATTGAGAAATCGCATCGTGAAACATCTATACATAGACTATCACTGACTTTACGAGATATGACGAAAATGGGAGTGAGGAATTAAGTTCAAAAGCTATGCTGAGATTGAATGTTCTCTTGTGATTTCTGGTAGTTAAGATTGGCATAGCCGACGGAAGCCTAGAACAGCGACATCCCTAAGGAAGTGCCTACGTTATTTATAGTGTATTATGTCGATGAAAAATTTCTCAACAGCAGAAAAGTCTTCACTAGCACTTTACAAACCTCCCAAAAAAACGATTACAACTAAAGTTAGTCCCTTATCTCAAGGGTCATTCTTAAGCAAAGAGCGTTCAACGCTGCAGGATCGAGAATCAACGAACACTAAGGAAGAACTCTGGAGAACCTATGTTCGAAGAAGCTGCTTCTTGTAAAAAGGTGGTTCGCGCCTCCTACAGGTACCCTGATCCCCGGGTGATCGCAACCTTACCCCCGAGGGAGGCTGAATAATCTGCCTCCGGTAGCGTCACTATACCCTTCCCCTGCAGATAAGTACAACTCCCCACCATCCAGAATTGCTCGACACAACCTTAACGCTGTTCCTAAGGATTTCCCTGACTTCCGAAATATAAGGGAGAATGATGATGAACGATGAATGATTACCGAGCCAAGTATTACTTTAAGCACAGGTTTCATTTGTGACCCGCTGTTCGCTATGCGTACCATGTTCAGTTTCACAGATTGAAACTGCCCTCGAAAAACTTGTAACTCACATTTCCTTCTCTAAAATGACTTGCTTCGATTATACTCCCACCTCTAGGGAAGCCTTTACTTTTAACAGATTCAAAGAATGAGGGCGCTTTCAGGGTGCTTTGCTTCCGACGCAAAAATGCTGGATAGTACTGTGATCCACTAGAATGTCAGTATCTTAGAATCAGACAGCGAATAATGAGTTATCTTGCCATCACTGCGCATTCACAGACAAATATCTATTTCGGGTCAAAAGCCAGTCAGAATGCAATTAAACTTACACCGTTTGGCCGAGAAACGTTGTGCTGCATTTTCAAGGACGCAACCTACCGAAGATGATCTTTGACTGCGTCGAAAGCCCGTTCCTTAAGCAAAACAGCGGCTTCTTCCAGTCGTATACGGGGCTCACCAAACAGCCATTCGTTCAAACCGTCTGAGGTGTTACTGCTGAAGTGAAATTTAGTTAGCTTGCTTGACTTACCCCCAAAGTTCTTATCTTATTCCCAGCATAAGCAATATCTGGAGCTTGTGAAAGTAGTCTTGAAATTGACTACACGTATTACACCTCTTAGACATTGCGCAAGAACTGTACATCATCATTCCCAAATCTGACCTTACAACCAATTACGGTATCCATAGCAATTACCCACTACCACCCAACACCACGCGGATACAGTAATTGAGACGCGCAACAAAGCACCCATATTGTATCGCACAACAAAACAATACAATCAGGGAAATATTATGGTAATGATTTTAACTATGTACATTGGAAACAACTCCAAGGTCAAGATATGTCTGGGAAATTACTGCTTGGTTATTGCCTTTAGTTATCGACAACCCACACAAATCAGCTCCTTTGCTCAGTTACTCTTGCGTTCCCAAACACTGCAGAATAAAATCCATTAAATCAATTTGAAAAAGGTCAATTAGAGAGCAGAGACGACATTACTCAACACTGGTAATTGTCATTTATTGCCAACATGAAGGGCACGTGTAGTGAAGAGTTGCAAAATGTTGGAATCGATTTTTTGTTGTGTGGACTTTTTTTTCATTCCTTTTGAAAAAGAATTAGCGTCCCAACGGGAACCGATTTCGATATACATATACTAGCCTGATGGTAATATTCTGCTAAGTTCCAAGCCGAACAGTAAAACAAGCGCGAGCAAAGTGAGACAAAATGCACTTAAAATCTTGAATAAAGAATCTGTCGGGTTTCTGGTGACCAGCCAATCTACAATTCAGTTACTCTATCCTCCCAGACGAGTCTTTAACCATTGTGCGACCTCGAAAGATTGCTGAGCTTCAGTGGGTTAGGCTGGTATCGACCTTGGGTTCAGTCTCCAGGTTATGCCTTTGTGATAGTATGTCACTTGCCACTGCCTCAAATCACCTCCGCCCAAACGTCTATTTCGGGACAATCATTCAGAAATGGTAGCTTCACAGCTAATTGTAGGAGAAAAACATAATGAGTTGAAAAATAGTGATTACAACTATTACAAACGCGTTTTGTAAAAAAAAATGTAGAGTACCATGCCACCTTTTCGATATCCCTCTGGGACAAACAAGCCCTCCACCCCTCAGGAGACGATCAATGGGTACCAGACTTGATAAAAGCACTGACCTCTACATGGCTGGTTACCAGAAGTCATTGTATGGGCCACATACGCATTCAATACGCCACTACGATTCCAAATGGCAGTTGAATGCGAGTCGCATCCCTCAGAAGGGATTGATTAATCCCCAACACCTTTTCCTAATCAATGCTGAATGATGACTCGCTGAGGAACTAATTTCAATCGATTACCCTTTAAAGTTGTGGTACTCCACCTTTTAGAAGATTTTTACAACAACCGTATTGATGGCCCACTTATCCATCAAAAAAAACCATCTGCACCACTCTGTTGATAATTCACGAACCCTTTCTTGGTAATGGAGGCGATAGACATTGCCTTTTCTTGAGTCGTCGTTTAATGGGACGTTCTTGCCGCGTTCTCGACCTCAATACGGGTGTCTCGCTCACGAACAATTAGGCACGCACACGCACGATTTGCGACGCCAATTGAGCCAATCACAACTGTCCATCTCCTACAGTATCCCAAGGGAGAAGGGTATAAAAACACCCACGCTAGCAGCAAATACCATAACCGAAACACAGAACCGGATGAAACTAACTCTTACTTTGGGAGTAATACTCGTCTTACAGAACCGTAAAAGAACTAACCTACTGAAGGGTACAGCCAATGACAATACTTCGCAGATCTTTTTCAACGTGCAGTTGGACAACTCCACCATGGAAGTGATTCCCTGCTCGTGGAAAATCCTGGCCCTGAAGAAAGATGTACTCGGCATATTCAATATTGAAGATTGCGCCAAGAGCAGACATACCGACTTGCATCGATTCCTGCAATGGAAACAAGTTCTGTCAGTTCTCTTCGAACCCCAAACGCCAACCGTGAGGCGAAACCCTTGAGAAGGTCGCAAAGATACGTCCAACCCAGGCGGGAACAGAATGCGACCACCATCGCTGAAATTCAGGATTCGCTATCTTGCAGAAAATTGCTTTTTCCAAAAAATCTTCTGAGAACTCCAAACAAGACATCCGTGCTAGTTTCAGCCATTACGCATTTATGGGACAATCGTGCGCACATCGCCATGCTCTTGCCTAACGGAGCCAATCAACAGTCTAACGGAGGCAATTCTTGGACACAGGGGACAGAAGCCAATTACTCACCACAGCAGCTAGCGAGGCGAGCGAGCTGCAAACGATGTGTGCGAACATGCACATCGTCTACTGGCACTTACAGTAATAGGCTAAACGAACCGGCATAAGTGGCACTTTGTTGCTGAAGAGTCTGAAGAGTACCGCGACTGATCCTGAATCGACGAGCTACCTCATCAATTGACTTCTCATTTACAACATCGAAGAGTGCAAGGGCAGAGAAGAAGCGAAGATGGAGCTGAAGAAAAAAGCACCAAATTAAATTAATTGAAATAATTAGCAACTCAAGCACACAACCTGATAACTCCGATCAGATGTCGAAATGCTCGGGTTCCGAAGGCGCGTGACGAGGAAGCGATCATTTGCACCAACCTGAAGTCGATATCTTCTGGAATAAATCAAATTTGATAGGTTTTACGTAGAGTATGCGCCAAAATTTCCATAAGAAACCAGTTTTTCCCCAGGATTTCCTTTAAGCTCTCATGGAATTTACAAAAGAACACTACTCTCTGGTATGCGCATTAAAGGTCAGGACATTTCATGATAATCACAATCGGTTGTCTCAAACTGAAAAGGTTCGAAGGAGCAATGTAGAGAACCGCTTAGTAGAGACCTCAAACCCGAATACCAAGCACATTTTTCAATGGGTTTCAGCGGTGGAGTCGGAATCAAACTCGTAAAGAAGTTTCTCGTAAAGGAGTCTTGTGGGTAGGCAGTTCAGTCATTAAGCCAGTTAGGCTGAATAAATAAGGAAGAAGTACCGAAATATGTTATACGTAGACGCTTGGGTAGCGTCCTAATACAGAAACCACGTAGAGGGCTTCCAGAGAATTCCGGAAGTCTGGACCGTTGCGAAATTTTCGGCAGGTACTATCAGTACAAACGTATAATGTACGAAGATGAACAAAAATATTGAGAAAAGTCATAACTGAAAGCTCATATTTCATTGAACTGTTCTCACTGAAGTATTAGGTAGAATCCCTTGCATTAATTACCCTTACAAAACTCAATTATCCGCTCCGATCATATCACAGTCGCCTGGTTTCTATATGAACGCGTCTCGAAGGGATAGGTGGGCCATGCACTTTGTGATCACATATGTGAACTTAGGGAAAGCGCTTACTAAAGAAGCTGGAACTAACCCCAAAGAACGCTTACTAATAAAGCTTGTTTACAAACCTTGTGAAGAGTTCAAGAAAACAATGAATTCAACAATGCAGTTATGCCGAGGTTCATAGAAAGCCGTACTTGAAAGTTGCTTACTAAAGACTTAGACTAATACAATAAAAAGACAGCAACTAGTTATCTAGGTAAAACTTTACCCTTGTAGACGATTCCTGTCTCATGCGCTTTTACTGTCTCCAACGTATCCGTTTTGCATATGTTCGAGTCAAGTTTCCCTCATAACCCACGAAAAACAATCAAGATGTTTTCATTACTACTGCTAATCGACTGTCAATGATCGTCTGCCCTCTGCATGCTCAAAGTTGTAGTAAATAACGTCATAGTGACTGCGAAACTATCAAAACTCTTCTTCGACTTACCAACTTAGCCACTCTTTTTTCTCCAGCAGATAGTTTCGAGAAGATACTATGCAAATGATTCCAATCGCATCCTTGCCATACAGAACAGTTCGTCGGAGTAACCTAAACAACACCTGAGATCATTTCCTTGAGCGCTTCTTCTTGAGGTCCGAACATGCCAGGTACAGCATATGAAGTTCACTGTCAAGAGCTATTGCTTTGGTGGCTTGCTGAAGATCACTGAATACAAACAATGCTGCATCTGGAGGTAGAGAAGATACCAGTGCCGCCCTACCGAGTTGAGTAGGTGATAGCATCAGATCTGAAATATCTCTCAACAATGGAGAAGATATAGGGGAGTAAAGTAAGTCGTACAACTTCTGTCGCCTTCAGTCATCTCCTGGACATCTATAAAACGATTCGTGGACAAAGTACATGTAGCGTCTTCTACATTTCTCAATGGAGTCGAAAGAGTTAAGCGAGACACGTCCTCCAACTCTTCGACGTTACTTGCGAGGCCATCACAGATACACTAGAAATCACTGGTTGAAATTTCTGGTCCACTCTTGGAATAGGACGGTTTTACCTCTAAATACAATTTCGTTTGGTCCCTTACTA